ATGTACGTATGATTATCGGGGAGCTAGCTAGCTTTGTCAGGCACTGAATTGTTGGACCATCGAAGTAAGATAATATTTTCATAAAACCACTAATGTCCGATGAGAAACCAGTAATATTTTTGAAAATATACTAATGTTTGATGAGAATTCACTGACGTTCGAAATTCCTAATTGTTCCTGGTCAAATGTCGTATATTTTCCGGTTGGTAAGGGTTAGCAAAATCACGGCTTATCGGTACACACGGTTATAACAGTTTCTCAGCAGACTTGTATATCAGCTCTCTTCTCTGTTCTCTGTTGTTTTTATAGACGGGACACATAAACTTCGGATAATACCTGTTATGGAAGTGAATATATTGTTGATTCCTGTCTTCACGAATATTCAACAATCTTGGAGAATTGGCGGGAGTTTCGCCATACATAACTAACACGGTAAGCTAGACACGCCCTCAAATATAAACTTATTGGAAATAAACGTTGACATTAAAATAAATATATAACAGATTCGTTATACTAACACATATCTGATACTACAAGTCACACATATTTCTAAATACAAATTCAATCCTGACAATGTTCATATTAAAAATAAATATATATATATAATGATAAATTCGTTATATGGTGGATAGTCAATAAGGTTGGAACTGTGGAAACTTTGTGCACCTTGTAGTAAGCAATCTATGAAATTCTTAGTCGTAAAACTTTATCTAGAGTCTTGATCTACTCTTCAATCTGCATTGACCGATTACAATCAAATTGCACGTCCAGTTTCTCTTCATAACGATCTCCTGAGTACTGCCGAAATGACTTGGCTACTTGCCAAATTTCGTTAGATTGGCGTGTGCTAAGAGCAATAACTTTTGTTCGTCTTTTGCTACTTCATGACGCTAATCCGGCGTCAGCAAACTCCCTATGCACGATACTTAGAGTGTAGCTTGAGTTGATAGCGGTCTACTGGTGGTAGTGGAATCTATTTTGCATTTACTGGCAGATCTTATTGCATGCTTTATAAAAGAAGGTGAGCAATATGGAAAGAAACTAGGGTTAATATGTAAAAATATATTAGTTATTAGTTTGTACTCGAACTAACATGACTGTAATATTGTTGTTTTAAAATTTTTGGGGGGGGGGTTATGCAGTGCGACTTTTTACAAAGATTCCATACTGATATTGTACTAACACTTGAAATTTAATATCATCACGGTAAGAAAGGCTCTAACTCTAAAGAGAATTATAGAAGTAAACAATTTTTTTTAAAGTTTATTTTTTCTTGTAATGTTTTTGAAAGGAGTTTAATCTACGGGAACAGTCAAAAGCAAACATAATTCAAAGAACTTATGAGAGAAAGCAAAGAATAATATGTAAATCACACTGTAATTGCCCCGTTCAATTCCAATGAGGTATTTCGCCCAATACCAGGGTTCATATGGTCAGCTGAAATAATACAACAGACATACTACTTTTTGTCATCAGTCGCATAAACAGTCAGAAATACGGTAAGGATTAATAACACGGTATTAATTTATTCTTAACAGAAATACGGTAAGGATTAATAACATGGTATTATTTCATTCTTAACAGAAATACGGTAAGGTTTAATAACACGGTATTAATTTATTCTTAACAGAAATACGATAAGGATTAATAACACGGTATTAATTTATTTTTAACAGAAATACGGTAAGGATTAATAACACGGTATTATTTTATTCTTAACATTAATACAGTAAGGATTAATAACACGGTATTAATTTATTCTTAACATAAATACGGTAAGGATTAATAGCATGGTATTATTTCATTCTTAACAGAAATACGGTAAGGATTAATAACATGGTATTACTTTATTCTAAACAGAAATACGATAAGGATTAATAACACGGTATTAATTTATTTTTAACATCAAACATATGGTGACCACCCGGTATACCGAAGGCCCGATAGTCACAGATTTTTGTTTTTCGCAATATAATTCTAAATTAAATGAATAAACAAATTCGCAGGTCCATCAAAGATTAATCCAATCTCAGATGAAAAGTTTAAAGGATACATTTTGGCGGAGGTTCGGGGAGCCAGCCGTCCCAGACGGTTCGCTCTCGTTTTAAGTACAAACAACAGAAATTTTTGAATCGACATTGTAGTCTACAGCTGATTGCATTGGCTCTTTGTCAAGATAATTTTACTGACTGGAAGCTTTGAACATGTTTAATGAGTTGTGGATATAAATTTGTTGTAAAAGCACTATGAAATAAGAATCTTGAATGTCCATTCTCTCAGAAGAGCTAGATTCTCAGTTGCAATCCTGATGCGTGAATAAGCAGACTTTGCAGTTAACACTATACATGCATATAAAACAATAACATCGGAGAAATGATGATAAACATTATCCATCCATTCATGAGAAATTACAACATTTTAGATCAAATCTTAAGATGTTTCTGTTATAAAATTTCACAAACTTAACCAAACAATCAATTTAACATTTTAACTGTTAAAAAAAACAAAAAAAACTTGCATCTTCGAACTGTCGGGCCTTCGAAGTAATGGTTTATTGAAGTTAAGCCCAAAGTAACACAATGGGCTATCTGTGCTCCATAGTTTTTTCCATGAGCAATTGGTGAAAAAAAGTAATGCCAAATGAATGTTTGAGATTCTGAATTGTGAGTAAATTATTTTACCTATAGGGTCAATACCCAACTAAAGTTCTTCTATATTGTTATACACCTAGCTTTACGGAAGTGCTAATTTAATTTAAGGCAGCGGTTTCTGGTTTATTAAAAGTTTGAAAGATGTACAGAGTAGTTTATACTGCAACGAGAAAACAACAGTATAAAACTAATGAAGTGTTTGGATACATAAATTATACATATATAGGGATGTTAAGTGCTAATTTCTCATTCGATGCAGGTATATCACAAGTGTAAGCCATAGCTTTTAGACGGAGATGATACAGTGGAGATCGTATTAGTGTGGTAACAAATAATGGAACTAAACGAAATAGAATATTGGTCTTAACAAGATACAGTATATTAGGCTTATTAGACGTTCTGTAATTCTGCACATTAATGGATTATGTTCGTATTACATTCGATTTTAAATACTAGCTGATGTATTCATTCAACGCACGAGGAAACCATAGAGGTCCCAGTGAGAACAGGGATTCAGATCCGAACGACGATCCCCTTATGTAGCTGGTTATAACTGGAAACACACACACACACGGAGTTTTGTCAAATAATGATTTAAGGTGTACAGATTAGAAATATACGTATGGTCAGTCTCCAGTAGTTCGCTTAATATCGTTTCGGTGTTTATCAGTAGCAAATTCTGTTATACTGTAGCTTTCATTTAAATTGTTACTTTTGAGCGTTTTATTGATAATTTCTAGTTTCGTAATATAATAAAACGAATCTAAAGACAATTGACGACAATAGGCTAAAACAAAGATAAATTTACCCAAGTACCAAGTTGGAGACTATTTAGGGAACTCTTTACCGAACAAACACGCTAATCTTAACAATTTACACAACAAGAGCCAAGGTGAATCTCACGAGTTCTGACTTTGCTCATTAGAAACAAATTGAAACCTCCGAGTCTGAATTAGCACCCAGAATACCTTTTTACCTCAGAGGCCTATTCAATCCAACAAAAGCAAACTCAAAACCACTAAATGAGCAAACCAATAAGCCTTAGGGATATCTGCTGAATTCGCGAATAATGTACGAGGCATGTCCTTGAATCGGAGTTATAGTGCATGTGAAAGTCCTTAAAACCGCACTTAACATCTGTAAAATCTCAGTTCTCCTCCCCTTTCTTTTTCATAATAACCTTGTCCAACATTTTTAAATGTGAAAATCAATTAATAATTCAGGTTGTGACACAAGTACAAAAAAAAAAACGACACTGGATGATATGACACCTACTCATGACAACCGTGTGATCATTATGTTACAGCCAACAAACAAATCTAAACTTAGTAGCAATGCAACATAAATAAATAAAGAAAGATAGCAGATAAAATTCATTAATGAAATAAAAGAAACTGCGTGTTAATCGGGTACAGGTTTCATAAAAACACGAATTCAGGCATGCATGTAACCAGAATTTTTTAAGGAGAAACTCGCCTTCAATGTACTAACAGAGAGATATGTTTTTTTTTGTAGAACGAAACTACATAACTGCCTATCTGTGCTGTGCTCACCACGGGTATCAAAACCCGATTTTTAGCGTTATTAACCTTCAGGGCCCGGCATGGCCAGGTGGTCAAGGCACTCGACTCGCAATCTGAAGGTCACGGGTTCGAATCCCTGTCACACCAAACATGCTCGCCCTTTCAGCCGTGGGGGTGTTATAATGTGACGGTCAATCCCACTATTCGTTGGTAAAAGAGTAGCCCAAGAGTTGGCGGTGGGTGGTGATGACTAGCTTCCCTCTAGTCTTACACTGCTAAATTAGGGACGGCTAGCGCAGATAGCTCTCGTGTAGCTTTGCGCGAAATTCAAAAACAAACAAAACAAACAATTAACCTTCAGACTTACCATTGAGCCACTGATGGGTTAAAGGAAGATCTCTACCAATATACCAATATAGTCGATTAACATAATATTATTGTTGCATTTTTATATGAAAAAAACCCGAACAGTTTACATATCAAAACAAAACATTTATAAAATGAAATAGTCTCCATTCTTGTCGATGATGCTTTTCCATCTTACAATCAGGTTGTTAATGCCCTGATTCAAGAAATCACTTGGCTTTGAAGTAAAAAACATGCCGATGTCCTCTATAACACCTTTCACATTTGCATACGTTTTCCCATTAAGATAGTGTTGCAGCGAACGAAAAAGATGTTAATTTGATGGTGACATATCTGGAGAATATGGTGGGTGGGGGAGAACTTCACAACCGAACTCCATAATCTTGTGTTATGTAAAACGTGTTACATGTGGACGTGCATTGTTGTGGAGAAGAACACCTTTCCGATTGACGAGTGAAGTGCGTTTCTGATGAAGGGTTTGATTTAAACGTTCCAGTTGCTGACTGTAGATCTCTGCATTGACAGTTCGCTGTGGATTGAGAGTTCGAAGCGAATTACCCCGTTGATGTCTTACCAAATGCAAAGCATCACTTTCTGTTGATGGAGTCCAGGTTTTGGGGTCGGAATTGGTTTTTGTCTAGGACTGAGCCATTGTTTTTGGCGTTTAATATTCGTATAGAGAATCCATTTTATATCACTGGTCACAATTATGTCCAAACATGATTCACACGCATTACGCGCCACAAGAGACGAAGCAACGTTCACACATTGGAAATGATGATCATCAGATAGTTCGTGAGACACCAAACACGTTCTTTAAGGAGTTTTACCATATTCCTTAGATGTTTACATATTGTTTCATGAGAGACATGCACGTGTGTGTTGCCTTGGGTTACTCAACAAGCGTCTTCAGAGCATCAATATCAATTCCAACATGTCGATAAAATATAAGATTGTTTTTTTTTCCTTTTTTTTTCTTAAATTATTTATAAATTTAACTTTATATACTTATTTTATTATATAAGCTATGGTTTAGATAAATAAATACACAAAATATATAATATGGAAAATGTTGAACACAATAATAGGGGTTGCATAATAAAAGTTGTGTTTTACTAAAACAATTCCAAGAATATAATAATTACTCTCAAAAAGCTTTTGTATGTTTGACAAGAGAACGACAGTATTTTTTTGTTCTCTATTAAAAAATATTTGACAATTATCATAAAAAATAACTTGCCGAAAATAAATCAAAATTTATACGGTATAGCTGTAGCAATATGTAAAACAAGACGTCATTACTTGTGACAATATTATTCTTTTAGAGTTTGGATTTGTGCGCCAAACAAGAGTTACTCACATTTGGAAGATTGAAATAAAGCTGTAAATTCCTTCCCTGTAAGATTATAGTGGTTACTGGTTTATTTTTCATATTCTTGAAGTTGTTCAGCTTAGGGATAAGTATTCAGCTATCTAAATAT